CGGGGAGCCCTGCCCTGCGCCCCGCGCCCTGCGCTCGCTCGGGGATTTAACCCGCGCCCACCCGCGCGCCCCGTGCGGAGATCGCGGCCGCGCTGGCGCTGCGCGAGATGAGGTTTCTCCTGAGCACCCTCCTGCTCCTGCCCTTGCTCCTCCTCTTCTGCCTGGAGTCGCTCATTAAGCTCTTCATCCCCAAGAAGAAAAAATCAGTCGCCGGAGAGATCGTCCTCGTCACTGGCGCTGGACACGGCATCGGGAGACTCACTGCCTATGAATTTGCCAAACGTAAAAGCAAACTGGTTCTCTGGGATATCAATAAGGTAACGGCGCCCGCGGCGCTTCCCTTCCCCGTGCCTGCGGGCGGCGGACGCGGCGTTTTGCTGCAGCCACCCCTGAGCGCATCTCTGCGAGAAGGTGGAAAAGAGTTAGTTACTCTCGCCCCGCTCAGGCGGGGCAGGAACTAGTTGGTGTCGAATCACCTGAGGAAAGGTCCTGGGGCAGACAGGTGCCGGCCGCCGCCCACCCTCAGGTCACACTGCGCACTGACCCGCGCCTAGGCCCAGAAGATCGTTGGCAATCTCCCAGTTACACCGACCCTCTGTCTTAACCGTGTGGGAAAAGTCACAGTTTTAATGAGTCTTTTAAGAGTAGGAGGCTTGTTCCTAAGTCCTGTTTGCACCTACTGAAGATCAGTAGTTCAGAGACTGTACCCAACAGAAGGCAATGTGGTTCTGCTGTCGTTATTGCCAAAAGTAATTTATGAAAGTCGTCTTTCGTATTTATTTATTTTTGACTTTTTTTTTGAGACATGGTTTCCCCATGTGGTGCAAGGTGGCCTTGAACTCACTGTAGCCTAGGCTGGCCTGGGAGGAAAAACTCTCCTGCTTCAGGTTCCCAAGTGCTGGGATTACAGGCGTGCACAAACGCACTGGGCCTTAGTGTTTTAGTAAAAACAGTAAACAGGAAAGACAAAGAACTTCAAGGTAACTTTTTACCCACGGCAGGTGTAGATGGGGGCTTCAGGAAGTGGAAAAGACCTAGAATCTAACCTCTTACTTGACCTTTAGTGGAGGAACAGAGGGATTCAGCGGCCTGAAATGCTGTCCTTTATACGTGAGTCCACCTCCAGTCTCATAAACAGGAATTCCAGGTAAATAGATCAATTAAGAGCCAACCCAGGGAGCGGCTGGGGGAGACAGTGCTCAGCTAAATACTTAGAATATCTGTTGCCCAGAACTAGGGACAGTGTGCCAAACAGGATACAGGGTCCCTTGCCCTCAATCTAGTAGAGAAAGTAGACATTAAATACCTCCTAGTGTAATGGAAGATACAGACTAGGCCCAGCCCAGCCCAGTGGCCAAGCTGGGGCCTGGTGGTGGTGTGGTCAGACTCAGGCAGGCTACCTCTGAACCCTGAGCGCTAGCTTCCTTTCTGCAAAAAGGACAGGGTAAGAGTAGCTACCTAGGAAGCTTGGAGGAAGCATCCAGATCTTACACCACATAATGTAGCATCACGTCCGACACATGGTAACCGCGGGACAGTGTGGGCTACACCTCCTGGAGACTAAGTCCCTCACCACTGGGTTAGTGACTCCTGTGCCTCATGCTGGTCTGCACATTTGCTTTGATCTGGAGTGAAAGGCATTTGCCCACAAATGCCTTGAGCACCTACTGTGTGCCTGGCCCTGCTCCCATGCAGAGCTGAGTCTACAGCACGGAAGAAACAGACCCCATGTGCCAGAGACAGTGAGGCACGCTGTGTAATACAATATGTGGGGGGTGGAGGGTGTGAGGTAAGACAAGAAACAACATGGGGAGGGCTCAAGTGAGAACACTCATCTCCGGGTGGCGGGGAAGCCTTATTAAGAAGGGGAGAATAGAGGCTGCGGGTGTAGCTCAGTGGTGAGTGCTGGCCTAGCATGTGTATGGCCCTGAGTTCTATCCCCAGCACTGCAAAACAATAAAAAAATAAAAAGCTGGAGACAATTAAGAGCAGAGGTCAGCAGTGAGCCTGTAATCTCAGCTACTTGGCAGGCTGAGGCAGGAGGATCCCAAGTTCAAGGCCAGCCCGGATGAAGTAGCAAGACCCTGTCTCAAAACACAAAGTAGAAATGGGCGGGGGATGTACTGTAGGTCAGTGTGGAAGACCTGGGTTCCAGCCCCAGCATGGCTAAAAAGAAAACGCTCAGAAGATGCTATGCTCTCGGCAGAGTGGGCTCAGCAGATGCAGAGCCTGGCCTGGTACAGAGTGAGAGAGGTGGAAGGTGCATCTGTGAGCTGTCCTGTGGGGTCTCGGGCTGCAGCTCTCTTCCCCGTGGCTGAAAACCTCTGTAGCTGACAGGTCTGAATCAAAATGTGCTGTGGGTGGAAACACCCCCTTCGATTTCAAAAACTATCCAGAAGGATTCTAGAATATTACGTTAGTGAGTTTTTGTGTTGAGATGGTAATAATTTGATATAATAGGTTAAATGAAAAGGTCCATTGTGTAGTTTGTCCCTGTGGGTCAAATACAAGGACAAATACCACGGCCCCCCCGGGTTGTAGAAGATTCCAGCCACCAGCTGCTGTTGATTAGAAATAGCTGGCCATGGCTCTGCCTGAAGTTTGCTGCCCATTTTGCAACACGTGGTTCAGGCTGGTTTGACCCTTCCATATTCACGGCTGCGTAGAATGACCGTCAGCCTCCTCTGGCTTCCCAGCGTGCTGAGGTTGTGATGATACCGACTTGGTTGTGCGTCACCCCTTGGCACACACACCCAGAGGTCTCATGCTGCTGGAACAAATACAAATCAATGTGCAACACCACAGGAGTTCGTTGTGGTGTGTTGCACTCCTGTTTGTCTGAATTTGTGTGTGGCGCGATCGGTTGGAAAGAATACTTTCAATCCCGCCGCACGCTTTTTTGTTGTTGCTTGAGACAGGGTCTCAACAATATAGCTCAAGCTGGAAACTAGAAATCCTCCTGCATCAGCCTCCTACATGCTGGGATCAGTGCCAACACACCCTCCCCAGTTATCTTTTACTGCATATATCAGGACAGTTTTCTTGTTAACAAATCTGTTTTTTTCCTCCTACTGCATTTATCAGAGTAATGTCCTGTTGACCAGGACAATGTTTTGGCTTTTGCATGTTTTGTATGTTTTAATACTAATATTCAGGGACAGATTCCTGAGAGATGTAGTGTTCAATGGATGCAAATAAAATACCTTGTGAAGTTAATATATTTACTTGCTTATTTTGCAGTCCTAGTTGTTGAACCCAGGGCCTTTGCACGGAGCTAAATCCTTTAATACATAATACATCCCCCCCCCCCCCCCCCGAGACAAAAAGTCGCTGAATTGCTCAGGCTGGGCACAAGCTTGTGCATCTCCTGCCTCAGCCTCTTGCATAGCTGGGGTTATAGGTGTTCACCAGCATGTCAGCTGTAATTCTTCTTTTGAGAGTATGTCCTTCCTGCTTTATCTCTAGCTGCCGGAGTGCTATGTTCCTGTCGTTGATTTTGTCTCACACCCTTCACTGCTTCTTCTAGCATGGCATCGAAGAAACAGCCGCTGAATGCAGGAAGCTGGGTGCCCAGGCTCACGCCTTTGTGGTCGACTGCAGTAACCGAGAAGATATCTACAGCTCTGCCAAGAAGGTGAACTTTTATATTCAGTTCAAATCCCTTGTGTTGGAACCGGGAGGTGTTTGGATAAGGCCAAGTCTGCCGTGACAGAGATAAAGCAAACGAGAATTGTGTGATTTTCCCCAGGGCTCCATCTAACTAGTAGCAGACGCAGGGTTTGTACCTGGAACTGAACTCTCAGATGTTAGTGTGTGTGTGTTCCAGAGCCTTCCAGGGAGCCTGGGAAAAGCAGGAGCTCCTGAGCCTCAACCCAGAGGTCTGCTTTCAGGGGTCAAGGGCAGGGCCCGTGTTTAGTATCCTCGTGGGGCACACGCTGCTGATATTGGCAGACACCCTGGGGTGACATTGGGAAAGTCACTGGCGGGCACTTCTGAAGCCCAAAAAATTGGGTTAGAAAGTCAAGATAAACTTATTTTTTATTTTTTATTTTTTATTTTTTTAAATCATTCCTGTAAAGCATTTGTGTCATCAGACTGCAATCTACATGGGGGCTGGGGATTTAGCTCAGCGGCACAGCGCCTGCCTGGCAAGTGCAAGGTCATGAGTTTGATTCCCAGTACCAGAAAAACAAAGCAAAACAAAACAAACAAACAAAAAGACTGCAATCTACATAATGGAGTTTACTGTGAATGTGTTCTCATGTGTACTTGTTCAATAAATGCTACTTTAAAGGAAGGAAAGTCATCAGAATTAGCTAAGTTTTTTTTTTTTTTGAAACAGGGTCTCAAATAGTTCTGTGTAGTTCAGGCTGGTCTTCAACTCACTGTGTAGCCCAGTCTGGCGTCAAACTCTTAGCAGGCCTCCCGCATCAGCCTCCCAAGTGTTGAGATTACAGCCATGCACCACCACACATGGCATTAGGCAAAATCTTTAAAATACAACTTCCTTGACCTCAACTTTGGATATTCTGATTCAGTAGGTGTCAAGGTTCTGATCCAAACAGACTTGAGAACCTCTTTGTTTAGACAATTTTAGATTTGGATTTTTTTGATTTTTTTTTTTTGGTTTTTGTTTGTGGTTTCTGTTTGGTTTGGTTTGGTTTTTTTGAGGCAGAGTCTTACTATGTAGTAGTTCAGGCTGGCCTTGAACTTACTATGTAGCCTCAGCTGCTTCAAACTCACAACAATCCTCCTGCCTCAGCCTCCCAAGTGCTGGGATTACAGGTGTGTATCTCCATGCCCAGCTAATTTGGGTTTATTAACTTCTACTCTAAAATTTTAGTGTTTTATTTCACACAGATTCCTCTTCATTTTTCTTGAGGCCCAAGCTAAATTACAAGAAGTTTAGGGAGAGAAATTACCTAGGCAAAGAATGGAAAATATCTTCTCTGGGAGGAAGCATGGTAAAAGCAAGAACTGCAGGCAGGAAACACCTGCATTTAACAATAACTGTTTTACTGAAATTAGCAGTGATGAATCTTCATGCAGATGAACATGTTGCGTAATTAAGACCAGGAGCTGGATGGCCAGGTTCTAATTCTGCTCTTCCAGTTAAAATGATATATATATATATATATATATATATATATAGCCTTCTTTACGTTCCTCAACTCTATCTGAGTTTACTCAACTAGAAAATAAGGATCACCACAGCACTACTTCATAGGTTTATTAGTAGGGTTTAGAATATTTGTAATACCTGGCCCATGATAACTACCTTGTATTAATGTTATACTAGAATGGTGGATAGTACCTATATAATTTTGGTTTTTAGGCATTATTAGAAGGACCTACTGGCCCAACATCCTTAGTTACCTAAAGGGAAAATATTTGTTTCCACATTTATCTGGGAATAAGCTGTTCTGAGAAAATATAGCTTTTATTATTTTAACCTATCCTATATACCCTTACAATAGTGTTTTACCGAAATTGTTCTAAGGCTATCTGCTTAAACACAGTATAGAAAAGGACCGGTGATCAGATATTTTGAAGTAGCTACTTAGACCTCATATGCCAACTAAATACACTCCAGCTTGCTTTGTTTATTAAGAAATAATCAAGCCAGACATCAACACCCTGGGGTTACCATAGTCCCAAGGGCTAGCAACACACGATCTGTTTACATTTCTTTGAGTAACTAAGCTCATTGGTTGGGTTCACCCTACAATCATTGTGTGTGTTAAACATCATGTCCTAAATAAAAGCCAGCCTCTCTCGATAGTTATCCCTTAGAGACGATGCTCCCTGTGTTGGGGGCCTAAGGGAAAGGTGCCAAGTAGCCCGTTAGAAGCTTTCATTCACTTTGTTGCGCCTTTGACATGATTTCATTATTGATCTCATTTAATTCTCAAAGTTCATTGAGGCAGTAGAGTTTAAAGAGTCTGGGATCTGAGCTGGGAGTTGAGGTGCACACCTGTAATCCCGGTACTCAGGAAGCTGAGGCAGGAGGATCCTGAGTTTGAAGCCAGTCTGCAAGGGGAGAGTACACTCACTATCTCAACTAGATAGGGAGAGCCTGACTCAAAAAGGTAAAGAGTATTTGAAAGGTAAAGTTATCGATTACATTGGGGTTGAGAAGTTAGAGTGATTATTTTGAAAACAAATTGCACTGTCGATAGTTCTTTCCTCCTGAGTACAAGCAGGCTTTACAGTTCAAAGTTGCCTTTTATTGCTCTTGGCAGTCAGCCCTGTTCTGCTGATATTTCCCCAACTGTAATCATTTTACCTGTGACAGGTGCAGTGACCTTTGGAGTTTGGCCATAGGGACTTCTTCCACATGATTATTCTGATTTCTCAAAAGTTCTTCTGAATTACTATCAAAGAAAAGATTTAACTGTTAAGAGAAAAACATGCCTGTCTGAGTTACTTTTCTTGTAAGACAATACTTGAAACCCCAAATTAAAGGAGGAAAGGTTTATTTAGCTCACAGTTGGTAGAGGTTTCAGTCCATAATCGGCTGGCTCCAAGGCAGGATGGCATCACAGAGGAGACACGGTTCATGGTGGGCAGAAGGTAGCAGGCAACAAGGGGTGACCGCAACTCTTTCTATCCTTGTATTTTATCCAGTCTACTCAGGGCAGGTAGCACTCATACCCTTAATCCTAGTGCCCTTGATCCTAGCATTGCACCATCAATCAATCCCAGTGTCACACACTCTAGATTCAACCACTTCTGAAAAATCCTCATCTATGACCACGTGAAGCTTTGAGAGTGATCTAGACGTAAACTGTAACATTCCACCCCCGGCTGCCCCAAATACTCATGCACATCCCTTTATGCAAAAGGCATACAGTCCATCTCTAAGAGTTGCCAAAATCCTAACAGTTTCAGCGCTGTTGAAAAGTAGTCTTCTCTGAGATATAAGGCAAACTCTTAGCTTTGAGCCTTTGTACAAATGAAATGAAAACTAAACACTTCCAATACTCAGTGGAACAAGATAGACCTTACCATTCTAAAAGTTACAGATAGGGCAATACAACGGAATGGGACCAAAGCAAGTCCAAAATCCAGCAGTACAGACATTAAATCCTGTAATTCCATGTCCAGTATCTTTGGCAGTCTGAGAAGATGTGAGCTTCAAAGGGCTGTGGCTCCCCACCCCTGTAGCACTTCTGGTAGTTGTGGCTCCCGTAGCTTCTCTCTTGGGCCAGGTCTGCTCCCTCTTTGCAGTTTGCCTCAGATGATCCGTGTTCCTGGCTTCTCCAAACTTCTGGGGTCTCCACTGCACCTTTGTCTTCACACACACAGCTTCACACACTGCCCTCTCAGGGCACACTGCTTGGCCTGCCAGGCTTTCTTGACCCCATAACTCTTCTATTCTGCATGCACCTAAAATCAGCACAACATGGATGATACTAAGGTCTGCTGCCTGCTGGAGCAGTACCCAGGCTTCCTTCTCTATTCCTGTAGGGGAGGAGTGCCTGGATCACTGAGCACGCTGAACCTAATCCAGAGGAACAAATCCTCTAGGCTACTGCCATTCTACAGCATGATGCACTGGGGTTCTCTTCTTAAAGCAAAGTCTTGCCCTTTTGCAATTTTGAGACTGCAAAGGATGGAGTCCTGGTGGTTCTTATAATGTCCTCTGGCCATCTTTTCTGTTGTCCTCTTCTGAAATACTTGGCTTTTTCTTGCTGGTCTTTTCAGTGACCAATTTCTCCTCTGTTTCATCTTTGCAGGGCACAACTTTACTGTTGCTTCCATTCTGGCCAAACTCACAATGTTTTAAATCATTCCACTGGGCTCTTTGCTCTTGATTCTCAACAGAGATCTGGCTAAAAACTCCCAACAGTAGCCATGCCACCACCTCAACATTGAACTGACTTGAAATTTCTTTTGCAAGATGAGTTAGTCCACTGCCCTTAATCTTAGTCTCAGGCAAAGTCTCTAGACACAAGGAAAGTGCAGACAAACTTTCTGCCAAGCCATAACACACATCATCTGGAGACCAAGAGCCAGTGCAGTCCTTCCCATCAGAAACCTCTTGAGCCTGGTCTTTACCAGCAGGATTTCTATCAGCCTTCTCAGTCTTCTAAGCTCTGACTAGAATCTCCCAGCAAGTACAGCCTAAGGTGTTCCCACTTTACTTTTAAATCCAGCATCTCCAAAAGCTTTCCAAACTCTTCCCACAAGCCATTCTCAAAGCCTCAGGAACCACATGGTCAGATATAGCACAACAATGACCCCACTTCTCTGGTCCCCAATTCTGTCTTGGTTACTTGTCTCTCACTGCTAAGACAAATATCTGACACCCAAAGTTAAAGGAACAAAGGTTTATTTAGTTCACAGTTGGCAGAGGTTTCAGTCTATAGTTGGCTGGCCCCAAAGCAGGGTGGCATTGCAGAGGAGAAAAAGTTCATGGTGGACAGAAGGTAGCAAAGCAAAAAAGGATAATCCAGGCTCCTTAGGGTGGGTAACATTCACATCCTTAATCCTAGTGCCCTTGATCCTAGCATTGCACCACGAATCACTTCCAACATCACATACTGTAGACCTAGCCATCTCTGAAAAACTCCACCTATATCCACATGAGGCTTTGGGGGGACATCTAGACACAAACCGTAACAACACCTGTACCATAAATACATTAGCAGAAAAACATGCACATATAATTTGTATGTTACTTACCTTGTATTTATGTTTTCACATTCACTACCCTCATAAGTAGCTCAGAAGTTTGAGAGAATAACCTTCAGACATGTTCCCTACACAGGTGTATATGAACATGTGAAATAATGATATATAATAATGATGATAGTAGTAACAGCTTCCTTTACCTGCATCATGTTTTAAAGCATTGTTCAGCTTCTTTGCAACAGCAAACAGAAACACCAAAATGACACCCAGGATTTGGAAGCAGATTTATTTACTTCAACAGGCACTGATCAGGATCACTCCCAAAATATCAGGACCTGATCTCTGGTGGTCTAGGGATTTTATATGATGCACAAGCAGGAGGTACGAAAGAGGTACAAAGGCAGAACAGAAGAGCCTGGCAGTTCTTCTGATTAGCTAGTAGGGTGAGACCATCGGTTACAAGGGTAGATTAATGGTACAATTAATGGTACAATGATACAATCTGGCATTTTGTATGTTCAGTGATGCTCTTGTGGTTACAGGGGTCAAGAAAGTAATTATAAAGCCATGAAGCAGTTACAGAGGTAGGCAGTTTCAAAAGAACAAAGTTTTATTTTTATTTACTTATTTTTTTATTTTTATTTATTTATTTATTTTTTGTACCGGGAATCGAACTCACGACCTCGCGCTTGCCAGGCAGGCGCGGTGCCACTGAGCTCTATCCCCAGCCCTAAGAACAAAGTTTTAAAAAGATCAATTTTTCTTGCACGGTTTTCCCTTTTCACCTTTACCCGCATTATTTCACCTAGTCCCACAGTAATTCACAAGCAAGCTGTGTTGTTATCTCTCCTTTAAGAGGAGCAATTGAAGTTTGGAGAGGTTAAATAACTGTTCAAAGTCCAGCTCACAGCAGAGGCTGGGCTCAATTTGAGGGTAACCAGAGGTACCTACCCTTTGGCCCTAGGCCAGAAGGATTAGGACGCAGTAGAAAAGAGTGACCATGAAAACAGAAACAGAAAAAAAGAAGTAGAAGATGTACCTAGCTCAGTAGTGCAGTCAGTTCTATATAATTCTCCATAGTAGTCCTGAATTTGCTAATAATTTATCTTTTGCTTACCTTTTGAAGTAGTGTTTAAAAAAACAAATTCTAAATTCTGCTCAGCCACATGCCTCTTGAGCTACAGTCAATAGAGCAAAGTCAAAAGATTAAGTTGCAAAAGAAAATTTCTACCTAGTAGACTGGCAGAGGTGTGTTAGATATAAGGACCTAAGATAAAAAAGGGTTTTATTTTGTTTCGCTTTTCTCTATGTGGGCAGATAAGTGACAAAACCACTTTTTACCACATCTGGTAGAAAAATGTAGACTCCTTTCTTAGTCACTGCATGCAAACCTACTGTCACACCTCTTACTAAATATGTTATTCTTGTTTTATTTTTAAAGGTGAAAGCAGAAATTGGAGACGTTAGTATTTTAGTGAATAATGCTGGTGTGGTCTATACGTCGGACTTGTTTGCTACCCAAGACCCTCAGATCGAAAAGACTTTTGAAGTCAATGTACTTGCACATTTTTGGGTAAGTATGATCTTTTTTTTTTTTTTTAACAAAAATATTTCCTTGTGAAAGCCCCAAAGGTTAAGTTTAAAGTAGAACTTTCAGCAGACATAAGAAAGTATTAAACTGATGCTAAAGTGTTCTCTGGGTTCTAGGGATAGCACTGAAATGGGGGGAAATGTAACTCCTAACCCACTAGATGTCAGACATGCGGAGTTTATGTTCCCAAAGTCAAAGAATGACTTCTAAGGAACAACGGAAGTTAAGAGTAGGAAACTTTATGGGGACCCAGAAATGGGAAGTAGGAACAGCTCCTGAGAGACAGGAAGGCTCCTGAATGGATTGCCAACGATACCATTTCTCTGAGAAAGTTTTACAGAGCAAAATCACAAAGTGAGTACAATATGCGGTCAAAACTATAATCAGCCGATAAGATTACACGTATAGCCTCTTGGCTAATATTGATCCAATAGTAGCAGCGTCATATGGGCGATATCATTAACTTTGGTCAATAATCTACAGTCTTACTCTTATTTTTAGTTTTAGCAGCCTGAGTCTTAATCTTAGTACTCTTAGTCTTACTGGGTGGGAGAGGATGGCCCCCCCCAATTGAGATAATGGCTTATTTATATGGGACATCGTGAAAGGGTTGTGTTGATAATCTCAAACTTCCATTTATCCCTTAGGAAGTATGTAAATCTGGGCCATTGTGACTTTAATCTTTTTCAGATGCGCCTCCAGCCCCAGCTGTGATATGTTCTCATCTTCTGCACTGACTTCCCCAAGGGCCCAGCCCTCTCTGACTGCCTATAATGTTTCTATCTGACTTAGCTGTCTATAATAACTTTATACATAAAGGCTTCATTTCTCATGCTGTGATCAGATGCCGCCGATCATCCTTCACATACGCTAATACTGATCAATTGAACAATGATAAACTTCAAACATTGCCTGTGTTTTAACTATAAGCTAGATGTTTACACGTATGATTATGTAGAGATAAAGAAAATGGAAACCATCTAGGGAATCGTCCGTGATTCCACAAAAGTGAACCCAGTTTACTTTCAGATTCTCATGAAACTTAGGCCTCGTCCTATTTCCTGGCCTAAAAATTACAGATTGTATTATGAATCTTATCTTTTAGGATCTTAAGTTTTACATATGTAGCCTGTGTTTCTGAACTCTTGCAATAGTTCCCAAATAGCCAAGTTCATGCAGAGGTCCCTCAGAGCCTTGAGAGTGTGAGCTTGGGGTGACTATGTATCAAAAGAATATCGAGCCTGGTGAAAATGCAGCATTATTTTGTGTTAATGCCTCCATTTTTTGATACCTGTTTGGTCTGTTGGGTTTTTTTGGTACTGGGAATCGAATTCAGGACAGGGTGCTTGCCAGACAGGCGCTGTGCCACTGAGCTAACCCCCCAGCCCTGATACCTATTTTCAAAGTTTCTGGTATTAGTAGATCTGATCTGTTTGCTCATCCCCAGCACACACATAGGTGCTCAGTCAGTGTGTGGAGCATGATACATTGTGTGGCTACCGGAAGGTTGTGCTTTGCTTCACTGTTCATGGATCATCAAACACTTTTCTCATGAATTTTCGTTCAGTGTAAATTCTTTCAGCAGCTAGAATGCTATCCCTGTTCAGTGGGAAGCGAAAGGCGGCACGGAGGGGGGCGGAGGATGGGGGATAGCAGCCCTTTGCGCCGATTCTCGGAGCGCCCCTTCAGTTTTTCTGACGTGGGTCGGTGGATCCATTGCCCTCTGTGGGCGCATATGCAGTTCAGCTTTTTCCCATTTATACCAGGAACAGTGCTTTAAAAATCAGCTCTGAGCCGGGTGTGGTAGCGCACGCCTGTAATCCCAGCACTCGGGAGGCTGAGGCAGGAGGATCATCATGAGTTCGAGACCAGCCTGGGCTACAAAGTGAGCTCAAGGCCAGCCTGAACTGCATAGCGAGACCCTGTCTCAAAAAGACAAAAAAAAAAAAAATCTGTTTCAGACTAGTCCCAGTGGATCTGTGAATCAGAGATACTAATTTTTTTTCAATGCGAACTTTCCAGACTTCAAAGGCGTTTCTCCCCGCCATGATGAAGAGTAACCACGGCCACGTGGTCACCGTGGCTTCGGCTGCTGGACACACGGTGGTCCCTTTCCTGCTGGCTTACTGGTAGGTGGAACCGGGCTTCCTGCGCGGTTGCTAGGCTCCCTGTCTTTGCCGTGGAAACGGACTTGGAGTTGCCAGAACAAGCGGAGCACAAAGTGTCTTGTAAAACAGCAGCATCCTGGGTTAATTCTGTGTTTCACCCCCAGGCCGCTTCTAAAGTGGCTGCAGGGAGTTAGTCCAACATTTCTCAATCCTCTGAGCAGCAAGGGATTACAGAAGAAGAACAATATTTTCATACCAGGAACAAAATTTAAATCAGTAATTTTTATTAGTAATAAAAATAGGTGGTATTTTGTGGGAACAAAACTGAGAGTATGTGATATATACATGTACTATCTAGGAGTCTAAACATGGAGAGCAAACAATGGAATTTTAAAAACTAACGCTTATCCATTTTTTTTTGTTTTATTTTTTGAGACAAGGTCTGGCAACGTAGTTTAGGCTGGTTTTGAACTCACTATGTAGCCCAGGCTGGCCTCAAACTTGAAGAGATCCTCCTGCCTCAGCCTCTTGAATGCTAGGATTATAGGTGTGTGCCTCCTACTTGGCTGGTTGTCCATGCCACTGTAATAGCCAAGGAACGTGCTGCGCTAAGCAGGTCACAGAATAGTGTGCTGCCCTGGGCTGTGTAGACGTAATCACAAGACCAACCTAGGTACCCAGGTAACCCTGGCGACGGTGTCCATTTAGCAGTTCTTGGCTATTTATATGTTCTATCAAACCGTAACTTCAAAAAAAACTCAAATTATAATTTGAGTTGCAAATGTGTATGTGGACGAGCAGTGTTGACGTTTGTTTTCTATCACTGTGTTCTTTCAGAACCCAAATTAAAAAAACAGCATGGATATAGTTTCCCTTCTGCTGCACATGTATCTGTTTCTTAATGATTTGATGCCTGTAATCCAGCACTCTGGGAGGCTGAGGCAGGAAGGAGGATCATAAATTCAAGCCCAGCCTGGGCAAATTAGAGATTCCCTGTCTCAAAATAAAAAGTAAAAAAAAAGTGCTAGGGATCCAGTTCAGTTCAAGGCCTTGGGCTCAACCTCTAACTTCATGTTTTGTTTTTTGTTTGTTTGTTTGTTTTCCGGTACTGGGAATCGAACTCACAACCTTGCGCTTACCAGGCAGGCGCTGTGCCACTGAGCTAAATCCCCAGGCCTCTAACATCATTTTTTTAAAAAAAGTTTTCAATCAAATTTAATTTAAGAAAAATACAGACTTGGATGGAATTTAAGGAAGGAAGGAAGAGGTAGGGGAAGGGAGGGAAGGAAAAGGGAAGGAAGGAGAGAAAGAAGAGGAATAAAAGAAAAACAACCTGCTGAAGCAGCCAGAGAGAGACCCGCAGTGCCCAGCCCATACCTGGTTTGTCTGAGACCTGGCTTAAGTCGGTGCATTGCCCCAGCCATCGAGTGCTGATAGAGCTGGCGTTTATTTCACTTTCTCGATGAGGGATTGTTCAGGTGCTGCTGCCAGGCTGGGTCCCAGCCCTGCACCCCTGTGCCAGCCTGTTAGCTCAGTTACCGGGCTCCGGGGAAGGCAGGTGTCCTTGTCCCTCTGCCATGGTACACGCCAGCTGTGGGTTCTGATTGGGTTTGTCCCACCGAGGACTTCCCAGCGAGAGCCAAGAGAGACAGTGCTTTGTGCAAGGAAGGTGTGTGGTGGGGACTGGCAGTGGCATTTTGGGGAGAAGTAAAGGTCACCCATCAGAGCAGCGGGCCACCCACAGTCATGCAAAGTTAGTTCTATGATGCGGCCCCCGCAGTCTGGTCCTTTTGGACTTGAGTGATTTTCCCAGCATACGGCAGGCAGATACCCTGAGAAGGGGCATGGCTTTGTGAAATTCACGCAAGGGCCAGGCATGGCTTTGCCCCCTGTAAAGCCAGCAGTCTCGAGGCTTAGGCAGAAGTATCACTACTTTTGAGGCGAGCCTGGGGTACAAAGAGAGTTCAAGATCATCCCGAACCACACAGCAATGCCTCGTCTCAAAACAGCAAAAAAAATTCTTCAAAAGAAAATAAAAAGAAACACAATGCACACGAGGGTCTCACTGGGGCTAGCAGGCCAGCATGGCAGCCCCATGCATGGTTTGCACCCATCCAGCTTGGGGACACAGCCGTGGTGCCGAGCCCTTACAGAGCTCTTTGGAACGCTCAGCAGCCACCGGCCCGGGCTCCTAACTCACCGCAGTTATCTTCATCTCAGCTGGCTGGATGTTTGCCAGACACCTGATCGGTGAGACACGCTGAGATTTCTGTGGGCAGAAAGTGATGTTTATCAGACGTGATTTTCAGCAACTGGTTGTTAAACTCACACTGCTTTTTAAATGCAAACGTTTTTATTGAAGCGTAGTACATATTTATAAGCGAAGAAATTCCCAGTGCACACCTTGGTGAGCTGCTCCTAAGTGTGTATCCATGTAAGCCATGTGCAGGTCAAAAATAGAGCATGACCAGGCACAGGAGCCCTCAGATCTCCTCCCAGTCTCCTCAAAGGACTTGGACACCACCATTAATTTTGACTATTTTCACTTTTATATATGTATCTGTGGGATGTATCCGAGTTGTCGTTGGTTGTTATTGTTTGATCATTGTCTTGGCTGTGTAGTTTTGCATCATGTGACTTCAGTGTAATGACTTATTTTTCTCTCTACCGTTTATGAACATCCAGGTTGTTTCCAGGAGAGGGTTGCTACGAATATTGACCCAATCACTTACTAGCTGTGTGACTCGATTTTTCTTTGCCTCATTTGCTTCCTCCATAAGACGGATTAATAATGACATCTAACTTGCAGGGTGCCACAAGGCTTGAGCAGAGTCCGGCGGGTGACCGGTTGTATCCGATATCGGGTCCCTTCCCGTATTCACAGAGAGGAGCAAGGTCCTGCCATCCCTCCTCACTGTGTGGAGCTAATCACAGGTGTTCTGGCCCCTGAGTGTCGGATAAAACGAGCGGGGCGGGGGGCTCTGTCCTGAGCTGCACAGCAGTGGACTCTTATCACCGTCCTAATCATCTATTTTAGGGAAAAACACTTCAATTTCTTTTTGGAGTTCACCATAGTTCGCTAGTTCTGTTGATTGATGTGAAGGGTGTGAGGCCACAGAACTAAACTTACAGCAGGGGAGGGTAAATTCTTTGATTTTACCGTGTTTTTTCTGCTTGCTAAGTATTTTTTCCACAAGTATCTTGGCTTTTAAGAAGAAAACCGTGAGTTGGCTGATACGCTTTGTCAACCCAAATAACCCATTTATGAGAGTTACCACTGTAGGAGTGCTCAGAAAGCTGAATCATGATTCTTTTCTTATAATGAAATGTTATTCAAATGAATAATTTGGAATAAAAATGAAAATTGTGTTTATTTACAGTAAACAACTTGATATGATTTTATAAACAGCAGAGGAGAAAAATCTCGCTTTGGTCACACACAGGTTCACTCGAATGTTGAAAAATAGACCATTCCTTTAACACATTCGAGATAGGCAACTCTGAGGGGCTCCTGCACTGAGAATGTAGTGAAAGAAAAAAAATTAGTGATAACCTCACCACACAGAAATAACCATGCTAAGCATTTGTTATAATTTTTAGATATAGTAATGCTTTGAAAAAAATTGTAAGTAGATATAGCCATCCCTGAGAAAAATTTGCGTTTACAGTCTTGCATTTTTAATTTAAAATACATTTTTCATGCTAATCAAAATATGTGTGCAACATCATTTGCAATTTCTGTGCTGCTATTTATTAAATTTATCCATCATTTTGACTTCGTCAAGATTCTTTCGGTTTGGGCTGGAATTGTACCTCACTGATAGATTATTTGCTTGCCGTGCACAAAGCTCTGGGTTTAATCCCAAGTATCACATGTGTGCGCGCACACACACACACATGCACACATGCACACGCACGTGCACACCATATATATGTGTTAGTTAGAAAGAACAAAAATCTTAAACCGCTTCAGACCAAAAGAGGAAATTTTTTCTGGCTCTGTGATCCATATCTTAGGCAAGCGGTCTCCTCTCTGGTGGTGAGAGAGAGTTGCCAGGAGTTCCAGGGTTAATGTCCTTTAAACTTCAAGCCCAGCTGGGGGTGTGAATCCCACAAATGCTTTTGAATGTTCCAGTTCTGGAGCTCAGTGGCCAGATCAGAGCAGACCAATGCGTATCAGTCACCACACTGCATTCATAGTGGTGATATAACCAGCGCACGGGGCTGTGAATCCTGATAACCAAGCAACAGCCCACATTGAGGTTTCTCAGCTGTTTGCCTTCAAAAGAAATATATTCTGGGGACTGTCTCAGGACCTTGACCTTCAAATCAACTGTTTCCTTGGGGTAAACATTTAGAGATAATATGAGGCCCAGAAGCATAGCAGCATTATCTGATACCTTTGTCAAGTTGCCTTCCAGAAAACACTATCACCTAACCTGCACTTTGAGAAATGGAAAGGTTTTTTTTTTTCTTTTAAACACCTAGACTGAAGCTTTAAAAGATGGCTAGATCAGTGGCACAGTGCCTGCCTGGCAAGCGTGAGATCTTGAGTTCAGTTCCTAGTACCACATACACACACACACACACACAAAAAAAACAAATAAAAGATTGCTAGATTCAATTGTATAAAATAAAAATCTAAGCTGGGCGTGGTACTGCATACCTGTTGTGCTACAGAATCTGGGAGGCTGAAGCAGGAGGATCACCTCAAGTTCAAGGCCAGTCTGGGCTATATAGTGAGTTCAAGGCCAGCCTGAACTCCATAGCGAGACCCTGTCTCAAAAAAATAAAAAATCTGTATATTGAAAAACAGATATCCACATATCCTTACCCTTCCTGCTAGGCAAAAATGTCACTGTGTTATACTTTGTATTTATAGGAATTACTCCTGAAATTTTAAAATGTTATATGTGTGGATGTAAGTGCTATACACATTGATACTTTTGTCTTGTGAGTTTTCTGCTAAATGCCTTTCAGCTACATAGCTGTTGGAGAGTTGTCTTATTCATTGCAAAACGTTAACTTTTTTGTTTTTGTTTTTGTTTTTGTGATGTTCGAGACTAGACCCAGGGCCTCTCACACACTAGGCAGTTGTTCCGCTGCTGAACCTCAGCCCAATCCTAGTTCCCGTGGTTTAACCCTGGTCCTTATCTTTCCTGTTTGCAAAAGCTTTACCAGCTTACCGGTGTGTCACTTGCATTTCAACTTAGCTGGGAGCCAGTATGGTTTATAGCGCGGCGTATAATGGGCCTGACCTGCAGGGGGCGCCCGCGAATGGTTACCACACCACAGCTAACTAAGCAAAGCCGGAAGCCAGCAGGTCTGTCAGTGGCCTTGAATCAGCCTGCAAACTCTGTTCATTTTCAGCTCCAGCAAGTTCGCTGCTGTTGGATTTCACCGAGCTTTGACCGAAGAACTGGCTGCCTTAGAACGAACTGGAGTCAAAACAACGTGTCTCTGCCCGAATTTCATTAACACTGGCTTCATCAAAAACCCAAGTACCAAGTAAGTGGAGGCTGGAATAGAGGCGGAAGGATTAGCTGCTCCTTTGAACATCAGTCATTCTTTGGGTTTCCCTAAATTGTTTAATCCCGCAAACACCTGGTATTCAATTCCCTCAGTTCGTTTTGCTTTCAGCTTCTGTAGATTGTGGGAAACCCGATGGCCAGACAAAGAAAGTAAGAAAGAGCGGGAGAGAATGACCGTACACGCACATATGAATGACTCGGGAACTTGCTCACCCTTCCTGTTTTCCCTGCCTAAATAGTGCTTCTCAGACTCAAACATAACACACTTGTCACCCGGAGTGTTTAGGACCCACACTGGGCCCGACCCAGAGCCGATGGACTTGTGGGTTTGGCTAGGGAAGGATAGCGGGAGGGAAGGGGTCCTGCAACACCGTCGCAGGTGACCGTGAGAGACTGACCAGGACCACATGTGGGAAACTCTCCCTCGGCAATGCAGAGGTTATCCTCTACAATGAGCACCGAGCCAAATTCTTTCCTTGATTAAAAAGTAAAGTCACATGTGCTTGCTTTGGCAGCACGTACACTAAAAAAATAAAATAAAATCACAAAAGATCAGCTCTGAGGATAATTTTTAACGTTTTTTCTCTTTGGGATGAGAGTTAGTGTCTTTGGAATGATAATGCCTACTTTTTAAAATCCCAACATTCCACAAAAATACCAATCAGAAAGCTTCCTTTGAAGCTCCCATAATCGAATGGAAGCCACTCTTTGACATTTTTATAAACATCCGCTGGTCATCTCTCTGTATAGAATAAATGTCTAAATTTTTAATAGCTGGAAGATATTATTCATGAGGTTCTAGAACCAGTAAATAAACTGCTTCTGCTGTATTATTTCACGGGCATCTCTTCATTTAGAAGTGTATTGGTGCAATTCAGTGTGCATTCTGTTATAGGCATCTTTTCGTATTGATGAAAGACAGAGCTGTATCATAAGTGTTATTGGGGGCTGGGGATTTAGCTCAGCGGCAAAGCGCCTGCCTGGCAAGCACAAGGTCGTGAGTTCAGTTCCCGGTACCGGAGAAAAACAAAAACAAAAACAAACATAAGTGTTATTGACTATTGGGTGCAAATAACAAATAATGTAGTGCCTCCTGGCGAAAACTTTAGGACTGTTTTCAATTTTCTGGATTTTTAACATAGCAAAGAGGTGATGAACATTCTGGGTGCATACTATTTTCACATTTGGACAGTTATCTCCTGGTAGATCCCAGAAGCCCATTCCTGCATGAAAAGACGCACAATTGTACATATCAGGCACCCTGAGCCTGTGTCTGACCCCTGTGCCTTCCTGCTGCAGCCCAGGCAGCGCGTCCCACTCCTTTCTTCGTCAGTCTGTCTTCGGTCATCTTTTAATGCCTGCCAATGTAATACATCAAAAATCCTCTTTATTTCCACCACGAGGACTAGCTAATGTGTATGCTTGTGACTTGTTGTCACTTAACTTTTTTTACAAATGGCCTGTCTCGTGCTCTGCTCCCTTTTTTCTGTGGAGCTACAGAGTTTAAAAACGAACACCGATGTGCTCTTTGTACGTTCCTCACACCCCGGTACGTCCATTGCATACACATGTTTGTGCAATTTGCTACTGCCTTTACATGGATTTTTTGGATTAAAGTTTCTAACAGTTTTCCTTCATGACCTTTAGGTTCTAGGAGGTATTTAGAAACGTCCTTTCCTTGCCAACCTGGAGAAAATATTCGCTCATATTTTCTACTCATTTTGCTGGGGGCCGAACATGCAAAACAAAACTAGTATGGTAAAAAATAAAATGAGCAGATACTAGTAGATAGTTGGTGATTGCATGTTTACATTTGAGTTTTTGGCTTCATGAAAATTTACCTAAAGTGAGGTTGATACAGGGGAGAGGAACTCCCAAGCTGCTAGATGTCTGGTACGAGTTCGTGTTCTCTAAAAATCAAAGAATGAATTTTAGGAACAGAGCTTAAGAGCAGAATCTATTTCCTGAGGCAAAGAAAACTTTTATCTGAGAGATAGAAGGGGTCCCCCGTGGGTTGCCAAGGACTCTGCCTTTTCTAGGGATTTTTATAGAGTAAATCCATGAGGTGAGGTGAGGCGGATCCATGGTCGGGAAAAATGGGAAATTGCAAGGTGGGCATGAGGTGGGACAAAATTATGGTTAACCAAGAAGATTACGAGTGTACTTGCTCAGGTAAAATGGATGAAACCCGGATCAAATGGGGAAGGGAGTCATGGTGACAAGCCAGCATGAATACAGCACAGGGGCTCTTCTTGTAGGGGGTTGTGGTAGTGGCTCTTCCTGGCTTTCTCAAGGTGATAGAGGCCTATTTAGAATATCCATCCCTGATGTTTATCCTAAGGGAGGAATGTGGGCGCATGCGTTTCATCTTTTGTCCTGAGGCCTGACCCACTGCAAGCTGCCTGTCTCCCTGACAGTTGCAAGGCATCTCAGCTTCTGCACTGGCTCCTTCGAGGGCCTGGCCCAGCTTGACTGCCTATAATGTTTTATCTAACTTAGTTGCCTACAACAAGGTTATTTCTCGGGGGTACAGCTCAGTGGTGGAGAGTGCTTAGTTAATGAGCTGTTCTGCATTATTTATTAAATAATACACTCATGTTCTGTAATAGTTCATATACTTACATGGATGTACCTTTTTGGGCCCTCTATTCTATTGCATCGTTGAGGTTCAACTTTTAGATTTTAAGACTTCATCCAGGGGCAGGGGAAATAGCTCGGTGGCACAGCTCCCGCCTGGCAAGCTCAAGGTCCTGAGGTCGATTCCCGGTACCCGCTACACCAAAAAAAAGACTTCATCCCTTTTTTCTTCCAATGTAACTGTTCTTGGTGAAAATATAGTTGAAATTAAGGAGAACTCTTCAGCGTGGCCACTGGGAGGACAGCGGGGTCTATTTTAAATACTGTACACTTCAGCCTCAGTCACCCCACAGGTGGCACAAGTTTGAAGCCAGCGTCAGGCAGAAAATTGGGAGCTGCCCAAGAATCTATCAGATACAGATCTCCCTAATTTATAATATGACTAGAGCCTAAGAAACCCATTGTAAATTGAAAATGCCGGAAGAGGAGACGCACATTGCAGGCCCCACCTGCTCATGAGCCCCAGGGAAGCCAAAACTCAAACTTGAAGTGTGGTTTCTACTGAACGTATGGCCATTATAAAGTTGAGAACTCCTAAACTGAGCCATTCTAACACTCTCTGTGACCCTAAAAGTCGATTTTTAAGGCACCGTTTTGTTAGAAAGCAAAGGTAAGGGTAAAACCAGATGCAGCGGGTGCCCCTGTGGTCCCAGCCCTCGGGAGGCTCAGGTGCATCACTCGAGCCCACAAGTTTGACACTAGCCTGAGGAACATAGCAAGACTCCATCTCAAAATAAATGAAAACTAAAACGAAAAGGTTAGAGTATATATTTCAGTAGGCCAGTGCTTAAATTCAACTATCTTAGTCAATGAAAACCTAATTGGGCCCTGAAGGGAAAGGAAAATGAACAAATAAGCTTTTAGCTTTGAGGAGTAGGTTGACGAGGAGGAGTAGAAAGGATTAAAAGTTCACTAAAAAAACGAAGAGGGCCGGGATATAGCTCAGTCAGTGCGTGCCTGGCAAGCTCACGTCTGTGAGTTTGATTCCTGGTGCCAAAAAAAAAAAGCAAATGAAGACAAAACTTGCCAGTTTTCTCTCTCGTTTTCAGGTTTAGGTACTCAAATAACATCTTTGAGTCATTTTTTAAAGATGAGTCTGTTTTTCAGGGATTAAAAAGACACCATATTTCTGGGCTGGGGATTTAGCTCAGCGGCAAAGTGACTGCCTGGCAAGCGCAAGGTCGTGAGATTGATTCCTGGTACCGGAAGAAAAACGAAGACACCATATTTCTTAGTTTTCACTGAATTATTTTGACCTTGCCGGGACAGGCTGTGCGTGGCAAGAGCGCCCTCTCTTGGCAAAGCTCCATTCCTGCAACTAAAACATGATGTGGGAACTTGTTAAGTTGTGGCCGGAAGCTAGGGCAATTCTAGCCCAAGCCCAGGGCTGTCAACCTGGCTGGGAAGGGTCTCGGGCTGGGCCCGCCATCCCACACTACACTGAATGTAGATGCGTCCTAAAGATGAGTTGACACGCCGGGCATGGTAGCGCACGCCTGTAATCCCAGCACTCAGGAGGCTGAGGCAGGAGGATCACTGCAAGTTCGAGACCAGCCTGGGGTACAAAGTGAGCTGAAGGCCAGCCTGAACTGCGTAGTGAGACCCTGTCTCAAAAAGACAAAAAAAAAAAAAAAAAAAAAAAATTTGATTTTGAAGCAAATGTAGTGTAGTACTTCTAGGAGGAAAGAGAACACACACCCTCACGGAACACCTGTCCACACTCGGAAGCTAAAGCATTTTCTTATGCTCATAACCATCCTCTGAGGAGGGGTCCTTAGTCTTCTGCCTCTGACGAGGCAGAGGGAGAGTAATGCCCAGGAGCAGCAGCACTCATACCAACCTATTCAGAGTCAAATTTCTGACGGAAAAAAAATTGAGCCAACCTCTAAGGGCCTGAATAGTTTCTTTCACCTTGGAACCTAAGATCCTTTAAAGGGCACCTGCAAACCTCATTTGTTCTTATGGTTACGCATCTAATGCACTGCAAAAAGCCAGATTCCCATGAAGGCTGTAAAACAGCATAACTGGCATTTATGAGAATTGGACACAATCTGGTGCTCTGAGAACTAAGAATTTTTTTTTGTTAACTAAATTTGAATATCAGTAGTATACTTAAAGTATAGATCAACAGCTTGCTAAATTCCAGAAGCGCATTATAACCCTTTCATAAAGCCTCTGTAATCTCCAATCCTGCAGGGACACATTGGTCCCCTGGCCATAGCTGGACTATTCTAGTTCTAATTCCTAGAACAACTCTGGAAGAAAAATCTCTGTGTTAATCAGCTTTCTGTCACTGTCATGAAATATGTGAGATAGTGGATTTATAAAGAGAAAAGTTTC